TTTTCACGTTACTTAGATGCTCGGATAGCAGATGATAACTTAATTCTCTCTTTGAACGAAAAGCCATACCTCAACCGTTTCACCCATTGTGATAAAAGTTCCTAAGCTGCATCGTTTCAAGTTAGATATCTCATCCTGTTGCTTAGTAGTTTGACGGATATCGTGCCATCCTCCTAACCCAAGCTGGCTCTGAGCGCAGTGAAACTGGGAAGCAAAGTTTTCAAGGAGTTAGGTTGAGATATCGATACAACATAATGCCTGTTGTAACGATTCCAAGGTTTCCTGAGTTTGGCTATTGAGTCTGAAAAATGGAAGTTCTTATACACAATGTTCAACACGGTGGTCATCAGTTGCAGTAAGCAGCTGTTCCTATCATTCATTGAGGAGCCCTCATTGACATCCTCGAGTGTGTGACTAGCTACATCCTTGTATACAGAACACAGATCATTCTTATGCGTATTTGTCGATTATCAGTCTTAGATGGGTGATTATGGAATGGGGGACTTGGTCTGACGCAAGAAAGGTTCGGCAATGGGCCAAATGGGTTATTTGATAGTCACTGACGATTAGGGTGCACAACGCAGCCAATTGATATGTGTAATAATCTTTCTTGGTCCTTAGTGTCCTTGAATTAGGGAGAGAAAAAACCAAGTCCTTCGTTGTGTCCGGGCAGTTTCCTTTATGGAATCCTCTTGCCCTTGTGAGTCCCTTGGCCTTCCAGAACTTTCAGGGGTCTCGTCCTCCTGCTTTGGCCACCCGACTCATTCTGTCGTGTGGCTCCATATATCTTCCGAGATCAACCACGTATTTGTGTCGTTCACAACCATTCTAACTCTGGTGTCCTTGTGTTGGGAGTCGGGACACCCCTTTCCCTGGACTGCCGTGTCCGTGTGATATCTGGGCAACTTCTGTAAGGTTGTTGGAGTTCTGAACCGCATATTGGATTTAAACCAGAGCTGGGGGATTGGTATGTGGCTCGAGGTGTAACGGGTGACTTGGTCTGAGACAGGCAGGGATTGACAATGGGTCAAATGGGTTAGATGATGGCCACTGACAATGTGGAGTGCACAGCGAAGTCAATTACTACGTGTAATAATCTTGGTCCTCAGTGTCCTTGTGTTGGGGCGAGGAAAGCCCAAGAGAAATCCCTCATTGTGTCCAAGTAACTCCCCTTATAAGATCCCTTTGCCCTTGTGAGTACCTCGCAGTCTCCTGCAATTTTCAGGGGTTCTCCTCAGTGTGGCAAGGTTATCCAACTCATTCTTGCCACCCCCTCATACTTTCCGGGCTCTACCAATCAGACATGCCTTTGCCCTTCTTAGCTCTTGTGTCGCTGGTGTTCTATATATCGACTGTCAAGGATATTTCTTCTCCTTGGACTGTCGTGTCCATGTGACCACTCCCTACTATCTTGCTCCTTTTCAAATTTCTACGATGCTCGGACAGTTGATCATTGTGTAATTCTTTTTTTAAAGCGAAAACGTTATCCTGACCATTACTCTCATTTTCATAAAAGTTCGTAAGATGTATCATTTGAAGTTGGATCTTGGCCGGATCGTAGTTTAAAGGATATTGTGCCATCTTTAACATTGCTTGCTCTTAATGAGATCAAAATGGGGAGCAAACTCTCAGTGAGCTAGGCCGAGATCTCAATAAAATAGAATGCCAGTTGTGACAATTTCATGGCCTCTTGAGCGGGCTATGGAGTCTAAGAGGTCAGAGTTCTCATACAGAATGTTTAACACCTTGGCATCCGTTTGGGTTAAGCAGCTCTTTGTATCGCTCGTTGAGGAGTCCTCATCGACATCCGTGAGCGTGTGACTAGCTCAACAACAAAGTATAACAAAGCGCTAGTCGACAGCGAGGGAAGTTCAAATGTCATCCCTCTCCTAGTTCAAGGTCTTCAAAGCGAGCTCTCATGTGCAGGGCAGCTTCGGCCGTATCCTCTCAACTTAACGCAAAATAAATTGTTAATGTGAAGAGAAGAAAAATTTTCGAATTGTATATACTAAAGACATCCCTTTTACGACGGGGGCAGGAAAGACAGTAAAACCAACACCAAAGCCTCTAATTTTAGCATCCACATACATAGTGAAACGAGGTTAACATCCTATAGCTTCCTCACTCCCAATGGTCAATTTCGAGGGTTGGCTTTGCCTTGCTTTCCTTGTTTTACCATGATTGTAGTAGCAGCAAGGCTTACTTGCTTCAGGTTCTCAGGGTGCCGGAGGGGTTGGATGTGAACTTGGTCATAACGTAGGCCCATTAGAGAACCCTGCCTGAACCCAATCTCGCTAGAATCAGCGTTGCATGGAGATCGATCTCAGCCTTTGGGTTGCAAGGGATATATTCCGCACAACTCCACATAGCAAGTTCAGAAGCACTAGGAGGTTATTAGCTGTTACTTCAATCTTATCGATGATTAAAGTTGTATCAAGCTCGAACTCCCTGGCTGCTTGCAGGATAAGATACCGCTAAGCTGCGGTCAATGAATAAATATTAAGCGTGCGAATGGGAAAAATTGCCCTAAGACTTAGGTTGGTGCCCCTTACGACATGATTGTTTCTGTTAAGCGCCTTTTGTTGGCTTATTCTGTTTGAATGCCCCTATAAAACGGCATTGCTAACAGTAAGAAATAAATGGATCCGTTTTCGGCCGACCTGTTTTAGGTGCCCTATTCCCAGAAAGCTGACTATTGGCACCGCAGCCAATTGCGGCCAACCCCAAAGGTCTTACATAAGCAGTGGGGCCGCATGAACGTCAACCACTCTTACATGTGCCTTCACAACACACCCATATCCACCACAATCCTCAAATTTTGTCGCAATTGGTGGGTGTCGACATAATAAAAAGAATTACAGCAGACAGTACGGCCGGGACTCAAACCATGTCCATGATTTTCACACTCGACGAGTACGCCATGCTGCCGAAACCTACCCTGCGCTTAACCATCCCCAGCTTGCACGACGCTCTGCCCCTCGACTGCCGAGTCTACCACCCTCATTCCCTCTCCCCGTTACCAAGTGCGCCGCCATGGAATAAACATGCTGCAGTTGTCGCCCATCCGTATGCTCCGTTAGGAGGGTGCTACGACGACCCCGTGGTGGACATCGTGGCCGGGACGCTGCTCAAATTGGGATTCTTAGTGGCTACGTTTAATTTCAGGTATGGAACTCCTTGAGTTTGCTCATAATGCCAAAGTTTATTTACTCAATGCTGGTATTGTGAGTGTTGTACATGTACATCAATGAGTATGCTGATGCCTAACAGGGGAGCGCTCGGGTCAGCCGGGCGAACGTCATGGACTGCAAGGGCTGAGCGGGCAGACTACATGTCTGTGGCTGGCTTCGTCGCACATTATGTTCATTTTCTGGACCCATCTGGTCGGCCTTCTTCCGAGGACAGCACCGTGTCGGAGGAAAATCGAGCTGTTCAGGTGCAACCGCCTACCCTATCATCTCCAGCACCAATTCTCTTGCTCTCGGGGTACTCGTACGGGGCCATGATCACTACCCACCTCCCCCCTCTGGATGCCATCCTCTCACTCTTCTTAACCCCTGAGTCTGGCTCTCCAGCGGCCGAAATCCGTTTACGTGCCCAGCATCTCGCCGAAATGCAGAGCACCGTTATCTCAAGCGCAAGAGACGCAGCCAGCAGCCATCACCTATCCCCTAGGGCCCCAAGGCGGGGCGTGGGCCTGCGTGTCGGCGGTGACGAAGAAAACCGCAAGAGCCAGGACTCCCGACGCTCGCTATCCATGGATCTAGAGAATTCCGTGCGGCAGGACGCGGCAGATCTGCTGGCCAAGGCGGCGAGGGCGAGGAGGAATAGAGAAGCACCCAACAAGCAGGCACAGGAACCGACAAAGCGTTTACCTCCTGTGGCAGGACTCACCTTTCGCCCGGCGTATCTACTTGTCTCCCCTCTGCAGGGCATCATTACCAACCTTGCTACCATGTCCTTCCCCTCGTCATTATCAATTGGCCCTGGCAGACTACTTAGTCGCTGGCTCCCTAAACTCCAGGAAGAAAGTTCGGCAGAGCCGAACGCCCTCTCACGCTCCATCCCCCCAGGCGCAGAGGACAAACTCACCCAAAACCCCACACTAGCAGTCTACGGCGACCACGACGTCTTCGTGTCGGCCCGCAAACTCCGCGAATGGGCTACCCGCCTCCAGACCCTTGAGAATTCCCACTTCCACGCCATTGAGGTCTCCGGCGCCGGTCACTTTTGGGCACAGTCACGCAAGAATGCACGCATTCTCCAGGACATGGTGCAGACGTTCGGTTTGTCATTGCTCCATGATGCTACCTGACACTAACGCTGTGTCCTTACGTCTGATAAGACTACTGGTATAAAAGGCACCCACTCGAGCGCTACAACTTCTTCAGCCACTTGAGGCTACAACTGCCTCAACCACTCGCGCCGGTGCTGAATCGCCTCCCGCGAGACTATCGCATCGGGCGCCGCATACTCAAACGCATGCGGCACGCCCGGATAACAATGAAACTCGACCTTGACATTGACCTCCGCCAGACGGGCCACAAACGCAGCCACATCCTTCGCAAAAAGATCCAGGCCACCGATATCAATGTACGTAGGCGGCAAGCCCGACAAGTCCTCGCGCATAAACGGATCGGCATACGGCAAGCCCTTCTCTCTGTGACCGGCTGTGCGCGGGAGATAGGCGTCCTACGCCAACTTGATGCCCTTCTCGGTCCAAATATTGACGAACTTCGCCCTCTTAGAGTCACTGACCGCAGCGCTCTGGTGGTTCAGCATCGGGTAGACTGCGCAAACCCGTCCAATGGGCGGCTCGATGCCCTTGTCCTGCCACATCATGGCCACGCCGAGAGCCAGCGCGCCGCCGGCGCTCACGCCCAACAGACCGATGCGCTCCGGGTCGATGTTCTCGGCCGCGGCGTTCTCGCGGATCCACTGTGCAGCGGCGAACGCGTCCTCGAGGGGCTTTGGGAACTTGTGCTCGGGGGCAAGGCGGTACTCCGGGGCATAGATGGTCATGCTTGTCATGTTGACATAGCGGATAATGTCCTTGCGAAAGAGCTTCACGCTGCCGGAGATGAAACCGCCGCCGTGGAGGTAGACGAGGGCCGGCTTGAGTGCTCTCTCATGGCAGATTTCGCGAACGGCACGCTGCCCCTCGCGGTACATTTCATCGTCAATCGGCTTCTTCTTCTTCTTCTCGCCCTCGCCCTCTTTCTCCTTATTTTTTTGCGCCTGCATTTCCTTTTCCTTCTCCTTCCCCTCATCAGTCATATTCTGTCTATCCTCCTCCCGCGGCTTATTCCCCTAGGAGTTAACCGGATCGAGATAAAACTTGGTCATTTTCAACTCCGTGCCATCCAGCGACTTGTACTTGATATCCTCGCTTAACACGTTGAGCTCACACACTTTCGCCTTGCCCAGCATCGCCTCTGTCGCCTTGTCGTTGAGGAGTCGCAAGCCAAGGATGTCGGTCGGCTCGACCGTCAGGTTCTGGTTGCCGACCGCCTGCAGGAAGTCGCTATCCACGTGAAAGGTCTGCGCTGCAGAGGCAGCACCAGCCTGGGAGTCGACGGGGGAGCGGACGGATTTGAGGTGTTGCATGGCGGGCTGCCGGGGGTTGGCGATGTGCACGCGCCGGAAGGGGCGGCGAGGGGGGGCGGACATTGTGGTGTATGAGAGCGATGATCGATGTGGTAGTTAAGAGGGCAAAGATTAAATGGTTAAAGTGGTAGTGGGATGGGTAAGAGTGGCATTGAGATGGAGAGCTGGGTAATGGTTAGAGGCGAAAAAAAAAAAAAGAAAAGCGTTTGTTCATAGGAGAAGAGGTCAGCTCTGGAGGGGCCGTGGGTGGAAGATGGGAAGTGCAAGGTGCAGGAAGAGGGGCTCCTTTCTTCCCAACCACAAACAATATGTAAGGAACGACGGGGTCTGTCAAGTGTCCACTTTTGTGTGCTTTGAAACACATGGAATTACGAAGACAGGCGCGTCCGGTGAAGTCCATCTTTCTGGATGTTAGAAAGTATGGATGTTGAGGATTAGGAGCGGTTTGCTTTTAGGAGCACCCTAACCCTGGACAACCCTTACCACACACACATAAGCCTAAGTTGCTTCCTGTCGCGCGGCAGCAGGCGAGCTTGAGATTGAACTCTTCAAGTCAAACTGGCTGCAGCCCCAGAAAGCATGTGTGGCCTTTAAGGACATCAATAAGACTACTCACATCGTTTAAGGGTTGCCTTGGACTCGATCTCTGTGGACAGGGCTTAGTTCACAGGCATAACGATGGCCGGCGTCTCCATGGCAACAGGAATGTTTACAACAATGCCATTTCCGAGATTCCGGGAAGACAATTGATCAAGTTTGATCAAACCATTCTGCAAATGTTCGATGTTGACAATGATATCTAGTCAATTGTGACCCATGCATTTCTACGAGTGAAGCAGCATGAGACCGTTGCTGACAGCACGAGTCACTCAAAACGGACAGCAGCCAGCAACCGTTGCGGCCAAACATTTAAAAGCTCCTGGTTCACGAGACGAAAGCCATGAATCGCGACGAGACGCCACACTGTGTTCACAGCTTTCCGTCCTGTCACGGCCCGAGAAAACGATTCCTTTCGAAGGCTGAAGAGAAAAAGTTCGGCATCGTTCCGGTCCGGTCCAGATGGTCATGATCCGGGGCGTGGCTTCGGTAAAGCTTTACAAAACGGGAGGGAGTTCAGGGGTTCGGTGGAGGAAGCTGCTCGCAGCGTGTCAAAGGGCACTTTAGAAACGGAATATACAGCTGTAGCAATTAGGTGGCGATATGACAATTGGGCAAGACAAAATACCTACATATACAGAGTTAAACCATAAATCTGTAAGAAAGATGGCATTGATGCTGAAATGAACCCTGAACAGCTGAAACTCGATTTACCTCTTACCAAAGAGCCAAGCCCTTTTCCTCTCCCAACCCCCCCCCCCTTTCCTCCCCCACTTTAACCCTGGAACAGACGCCACTCAGAGAATCCACACCCTAAGGCCCGCGCGCTAACAATTTCAGCAGTTCGCCCGAGTCGCCAGTTGGTCATGCAGCATTCTCCACAATCCATGACTATCCCATTGAGACGTGACGACTCCACTCATCAGAAAGCGTTCGCAGGCACGAACCCACCGACCTGAAGCCCCAGAACTGGACTGAGCCCACCTGACTCTCATCTAGTGCCATCATTCACTGCAGGCCCATCGTCGATAACGCGTTGTGTTGCGTTGCGTTGCATGCGTGTTGGCCAGTTGCCTTGTTGTGGCAGAGATAGCACAAGAGATTGGATGGGACGGGGAGTCTGTCGTTCATCAACATCAGCAAAGGGCGAGATCTAGCTTGACCGCAACGAGATCGTTTCAAAAATAAAGAAAAAAAGAAAAAAAAACCAGGTACAGAGACACAAGCAACCGACCGAGGCGCGAAGCCAACATCTCCCAAGTATATTAATCCCTAAAATCATCTAAAATCACACGCCGTCCGCATCGTTTCCAGCGCACGAAAACCATCGCGACCTAGTAAACGTTTGAACCTAACCCTGCAGCCGATCGTTTCAACTCCCACCGAATCGCCTACTCGATTTACTCGACTCGTTACCGCACCGCGTTCATGTCTCGCAACTAGCCCATCGCTCATCGATCCTCCTGGCGAGCGACGCCACCTTACTTACATTACCGACCGACCGACCGACCGACCGACCGACCGACCGTCGTGTCCGACCAATCCGACCGTTCCGATTGACCGTCGATCGATCGATCGATCAATCGAGATATATTACTTAGACCTACCTACGATACGTAATATCTAATACAGTTTGTTGCGACGCCAAACGCCGGGATGCAGTCGGCCAAGGCACGGCAGGAGGCGCTGGATCGGAAAGCCAAGGTTTGTTCGTCCTCGACAGCATCATAAGGGCTACCTATACAGAGGGGAGAGAGGGAGA